GCCATGATGAGCTTGACGTCGTGATGGTGAGAGGAAAGTGCGTTGCCATTGTTTGGCGGCGATGTCCGAGTCGAGCCTCTTGTTGTCTTACCACGACTATCATCTAGCTAGCGTTTACAGCTCTTTCTCCCCGGAATCGTTGCAGAGATTCCGTTTTCTAACCCTCAGGAACCTGGTTAAAGATTTGACGACGTACAGTACCGACCTCACACAGGTGTGTTTTCTTCCCGAGGTACGTAGCCACGGCTGATACTTGTTCCCACAGGCCAAAAATCCCAATCACAGGTGGGGGGAAATGGTGACATACCTTCCGGTAAAGCGCTCACCCCTGTTTCTTGTGGTTTCCGTCATACCAAAGAAAGAGCAAATTGACGTTGAGAGGAACTCTGGTCCTCTTTAGCCATAGATGCGCGGACTCCGAGTGAATAGTCGCCCTACTTTGTACGTCCTCATTGTTGGGGTACTCCACCCCACATTTCTCTTGAGCATCGTTCCTATTGAGGCCCAAGCTTCATCAACCACATAACAGGTAATCTATCCGTTCTTATTCATGACAAGGGAACTAGAATGACACGCCCAAAATTACAGAATCCGCAATGTTCTAGCCTACATCTTGCTTTGACAGCGGACGGAACAACGGTACTGCCAACTCTCGAAGGACTTTCTACAACCCCGTCTGTCACGGTCCTCCACCGAATTCCTTGCTAAGTCTCGGTCTGCTACTACTAAGATATCTTGTTCAACGGTTTGTGTGAATTTACCCCAATGTGTCAAGGGTGCTTGACCATAGTATCTTAAGCATCGATCGGATGCACTCAAGTATTGCCCGTGCATTTAGAGGAGCTTTATATTTACATCGTACGTTCGTGATGAGTTTCGTTAGAATCATAAGTAATCCAGGATTTCCAATCGTCTGTAATATTGACCTCCCTCCGCATCCTGGAGTGTTTCCCTGCCATCCCCGCCGTAGAAGCATCATCGGCTGCTCAAATCGGTTTGCATGAAATAGGTAGTCAGACCTTAGGATCCCCGAATTCGATCTGGAAGTAACATGCCAAAGGTCGCCGTTATGACAGACCCAATCATAAAACCCACAATCGCTATTCCAAATCTTGAAATGGGGAATTGGCCTCGCGGCAGTGCTGTCTGAATGGCGAAGTATCGTCGGGTCCCTATACATGATGTTCAAGAAAGTTGAGAAGATGATCAGTCGAGTGACGAGATTGAATTGACCAAGAGATAGGACAATGATTGCCATGAAAATGATAGTGGCCCCAAGCGGTTGAGAGATGGCCTTCGTTTTCACTCCAACATTGAAGAATTGCATGAGCGCTACCCCTTCCCATTAGTTCCCATCGAGATGAGGTAGGTATAACAGGGCGTACCAACGCCGGAGGACGCAATCCCTAAACTCGTTCTGACATAAGCGAGAAAAGTGCGTTCAGAGGCTAGATGGTCTCTCGCGACGCTTCCGCGATTGGCTAAGGAGAGGTTTATCTTCAAGGCCATGTGAGATGGTATCGGTGCTCCTTTGCTGTCGCCCGTCTCATTTGCGTGTGGAGAACAAGTGGATGCTTCAGGGCTTTGGTTGACTGGGGTAGAAGGTGGAGCGAGGGCTCCATACGTCCGATGGGAAACCTGTGGAAGGTTCGCAAAAGATAACCTTATCTGGGCATATAAGCACATTGCGGACGGAGTTGGTCGAAGGGTATTCACCTGTGAAGAGTTCTCTTGCGTAGCAGGTATGAATTCTCCACTAAAAATTCAAAGATATAAGCACCCAGAAGAGGACTTGAAGAGTAAACGAAAATTTTCTGGAAATGACGGACCATAAGGCCTAAGCGCTAAGCTCTTGGTCCATGTCAAGTTCAGGTTGGAGTGTGAAGCTTGTATACATGGACAGCCTCTTTGTAAACGCACCTAGGCTTGTTAAGACCTTGCTTATGACCTTTGTCTTCTTCATCGGAAGAGCTTGCCATGGCCATGGTGGTTGTTTAGAGAAAGTTCTCAAAAGGCACCATCAAACATGATGGAGATAAGATATCCGTCCTAAACCGAACAAATTCCGTATCCGGATATTGCGCCCTGTAGCACGTAGCACTTGCGTAGCAGTTGCCCACGAGCGCCGCGTACTTATCTGAGACTTGGAAGTTCACTAGTTCACTAATGTAATCGCACAATAGGACTCCGTGCATATCACGCCCGTGGCTTCCCGCGATATCTAATCCTTCCTTGCCTCTTAAACGTGCGCCGCCAGCGAACCACTTGTGGTTTGCAACTAGCAACAAGAAGGTGCATATCTGTCATAATATTAAAGTTGTCTGTATGGCATGATCGTGAACGACGACAAAAGAATTTCGAGTACGGGGAATCGAACCCCGAGCTACCGCGTTCATCATACGCGTGAAAGGCGGTAATGTTAGCCGTTACACCATACTCGATTTTCTGTGGGTTAAGCAAGACACACACATCTCGTCTTGGAAAAGCAGTATGTACATAGTCTGCATTCGACTCCCTCTGGTTGCCCCCCTCGTGGCAACCTCGTCGTATACATACAAGATATCTACCGGAGACGGTGCTTGAATACATACTTGCGCGCAAATCACTAGACATAGAAGTTGACTGACAGCAACATAATCGCCTGTTCAAGTTGAATGACGCACCTGCGTCACTTCGACGAAATTACATGTCTGAGACAGCCTCATTCTCTTGCATCCTTCCTTGATGTGGGTGCTACTCGTCTGTATCGTCACCCTTTCCAGTTCCGCCGTCCTTAATTCGAACACATCATCATCCTCGCAGCTTTCCGCATCCCCGGCGACCTCCACTGCCCCGACCTCCTCCTCCGAGTCTTCCGGGTTTACAAATTCACCCGCATTCGCCGCGATCGTATCTATCCCACGTCCGTCTTTTTAGAATGTCGATCTTTCCTTTGAAATTGACGCATTCTAGTCGAGCTCGCGGCACTTTTTCTACTCGTTAGCTGCGTAGTTATCTGGTGGGATGGCTATGTGCATGCAACCACGCTTGCCCGGGCACAGGCCGTGGTGGTGGCGAATAATACGCTTCAACAGCCCGCGATGAGGGGGATGCCGACTCTCCAAATCCAAAACCCCGCTTCCACGCGACCATCGTTAGATATTACCCTGGCAGATGCTGGATCCGTACGCTCCCTGAATTCTGAGGTGTTCACAACGTCTTCAGAGTCTGACAACTCAACTCCTCGACAAGAGAACACGACAAATTTTCAAGGGTGGTCTTTGAATAATTCCGTTCGCCGCTAGTTTACTTTGTAAAATTAAAATTTGCGGTAATGTGACGCGTATTCAATCAAGCGTCAAAAGATCGACCCTTGCAATCCGAGCATCAATAAAACAGGACGGATCGACAGCATCCTATCACCAATCAATGCGACATCTCTGCAGCTTGTCCCATGGCTTAGTTGGTTACGGCGTCCGACTGTTAGCGAAATGCGTGATCGGAAGATCGAGAGTTCGAGTCTCTCTGGGACAGATATCCGTTGAGTATATTTAAATTTTGAGCCGCGTTGTACAATGTTCTTTTTGTGTATATGACCTCTATCCAATCCACTGATTTCCCTTCTTTCTGTTAGGGGGATATGAAGAATTGAAAGAACCCCGGTTTTCCCCTTGTCCAGCCATATTTGGTGAAGGTTACGACTTGTAGGTGTGCCCGCAGAGACCTCCGAAGGAGATCTTCCCATGATATTGAACAATTGATCAAGGATTCCGAGTTTATGCGTCAAAATGCGTTTGCGTTTGCGGTGGTTGGGCCTCAGTGAAAGATAACTTATGACGGGTTTTCTCGCCTTGCGCCCCATCTTCAAGTTTTTGTTCATCCAATAATCAGCGATGGCTTCAATCATAATCTCTTGGTCACTTTCATTGTAGTCATTTCAAAATTGCAGAATTTTTTTGTTCTTGTACCCGACGTAAGAAATCTGTCCTGAAGCGTTACAGATATAACCAACGACTCGATAACTTTCATATTACACAGATAAACAGACATCTACTTGCTTCTTACTCGATCTGTTACTAACATGCCGAAAGTCGCTGTTATGAGGGAACCAAGCATGAAGGACATGAGCGCAATTCCCACTTTCGAAACGGGGAAGCGTCCGTGAGGCAATTCCTTCTGGATGGAAAATATCGTCGGATACCTGTGAGTTGCACCACAAACTTGAGATGAGCATCTCGTAGTTCAAGTGGAGTGGTGGATTACCGAGACAAGGACAGCGAACGCCATTGCTATCGTTATGGCTCCAAGCGGCTGAGAGAACCTCCTAATTTTGTTCCAAGATTGAAGAACTGCATGAGCGCTACACCATAAATTTTCCTGCGATCAGACNCAATTCGTTTGATAAATTACAAGACGTACCAATACCCGAGGGTGCGATTCCTAAACTCGTTCTGACGTAGGCGAGAAAGGTGCGCTCAGAGGCCAGATGATCTCTGGCGACACTCCCATTATTGATTAAGGATAAGTAGTTGAACTTTTGAGCTCGAGGCGACGGCTGCCTTGCTACTGCTCGCCTTTGCGTTTGAATAAATGTTTTCTGAGTTGGAAGCCTCGTCCATCGGGGAAGGGGGCGACGCAAGAACCACACCCGGCGCGCGATCGGCAACCAGCGGAGAGCTTCATTATTTCAGGATGTAGTATGGACCAAGATTGTTGTAAATTTAGCCACCAGTGATGTTTCTTGGAAAATAGAGGGGAAGTCTCGGCTGGTAAGTTAGCATCTACACATCAGAAATTCAATAATCTTGAAAACGCCTTCAACTTTCTGAGGGATCTCGAAGAGTTGACAATTTGAAAAAAATTGTAATGCACCTAGGCTACTGGAAGCTTTGTTCATGATAAGTAGTAGTCCGATGAAGTCGCCTTGCGTGCGTGTAATTTTCTGAGGCTCCGAGAATATATACGAACGGAAAAACGTCAAAAGGCGCCACGATGACTCAATGAATACCGTAAGTTTGGCTTGGGACACAGAAAATTTGGAGAAAATTAGGAAATGTTGTCATCTGCAACAAATTCGCTCAGAAAAAACGTCATCTCTCCGGTCTGAGGATTTTAAAAAAAAGTAAAGCGATTACGAACCTCACCAATCGTTGCTTGATTAGTTCGACTGTTTCTTCGACAATGGGATCAGGGCAATGCAATAACTTGCTAAGATGAAAAGGTAGTCAACAATATCCGTGGTGAGATGGCC